TATATATGTATGCATATTGGCGAAAGCACCATATCGATTAGTGGATCTAGAGCCACTAACATCACGGATAATGAATGTGAAAATTGTGTACTCTACTGATATATACATAATATATATTAATATACATATATATATTTTGAAATCCTCAATTACGAACTTTTTCATGTGGAAGGAGATTGTAGACTTCCATTTTCTATTTGTGATGATCTAAAAACAGTACGATATTGTATGTATGTTTGAGTTGAAGGATTTTAAAGGATTGCAAAACCACCGTTCATATATGTGATTTGGAACAATAAATGTGTCTTATTACTGTTATCAGGATTGACAAATTCATTTAGCAGAAAGAATGGAGGATATTTCAGCATTTAAAAGATCTATTATCGATGTTTCATTGAGAAAGTTTAAATTGCTCTGTAAGTGATAAAACTTAATTTTTGTTTTACTCAAAATCTTTAGATAATTTAATATTGTTAAGTGTTATAACATATTTTTCATTTATTTTTAGATTTTTATCTAATATTTAGCAATTATCTATTTGGAATTGTATTAAAAAATTATATTAATTAACTTTCAGAACAATTTAAACCGTCAAATAGTTATAAAATTTATGAATTAGCAAATTTATTACACACGCTAAAGTTTAAACAAAATCAGTGTGTATAAAAATTTATTCTTAAATTATAATTTGTAAGTGGAGATTAATGTTTTATTAATTTAAAATAATTGTGTAATTGGAGAATATAAACAAATTTCTTCAAAATTACAATGATTATGAATATGTCAAAATAGTACAATTTTTGTATTGTATTGTATCACTCTTTGTTGAAGAGTCTTCGAATAATCACATTTTTTAATCTAGGTTATTTATTTAAAAAATTTGGCCTTTAAATCTTTCTAATCTCTTGAGATTACTAAAAAGGCGTATAATTATATTTTATGAAAATTTTGGCAAAAATCATCTTGTAGAATATGATAATGTATAGGTGCTGTTCATAAAATATTACAGTATCTACATATTATTCTTCATATGCCTTATATATTCCAAGTTTAATTTCTTGGAATTTGGAAACTAAATATTTCACAAGAAAACTTCTCTATAAATGTGCATATATGCGCGTATTAGTTTAAACACTTTCGGGCAATCGTAATTTCTTTAACGATGAGCATTTAATAGTAATTATATTCTTTATTTTGTCTCATATTTAGTATTATATATAGACGTTTAAATCGATGCATATCTATCTAAATTTTATGGGATTGTTTCTAATTAGATTTTGTTTGATATAATTTTTAGTTCTCAAACTCACATTTATAGGCAGTTTAATGGTAAAACATTTTATTTCATTAAATTCCTTTATGTAACATTTCTTTCCCAATGAATTACGGATAAGAATCCATTCTCATTAGACTCTTCATAAACATAAAATATAAACATTTTTTACAACTTATATCTTTCAACTAGCCCATATAATCGAATTTTATAAATTTTATTTAAAATGCCATAAATAGAAACATTTTCAACGTTGAAGAATTAGGATTATTAAATCTTACAAATTCAAT